TAGCGTTTAGATTCTTGTGGTACAAGTTCAGTCCCATTTTACAGATATCAAACTAAAGTAATAGTAGAATCAAGATCTGTCAGACAGATAACTGAAAAGCAAACAAAAAAGATGACTAGCTCTGACCTTAAATGGAGGTTCCCCCCCCCCAGAAAAGTGGATATTAAATCGTCTTGACTGTGATAAAAGTTATTAAAAATCTAGGCTTCTATGGAACAGTAGAACTGAGGTTGTTTCCTACTGTGTGTCTTAGAGAAGTCTCAAGGCTTTCAAGCTGAGATGTGAATGGAGAGCCAGGGTTGGGTGAAGTCTCCTAGGCAGAAGGTGTAACATCTGTGAAGGCTTGAAGGGAGGAGAAGGATAGCCTATTCTGATATGTAAATTCTAGTGAAGAACAAGGACACGGGTGGCAAAGGATTGGCTGAGAGACCAGACAGCAGCTAAATCACACAGGGTCTTGTAGCACCAAGTTAAAGATTTTCACTTAAAGGTGGCCTTGATGGATTGCGGGATGAGAATTCTACAAGATTGCTTTAGGGCTGTTGCAGGGAACAGGAAAGGCATGGATGCAGGAAGAGGTGTTTGGGTTGTCAGAGCCACCGTACAGTGGGGTTTGCTTTTATGCACACCCCTCTGCAGTGGTTTAGATAAAGGTGTTTACTTGGGCTGTCATCCTAACAGTGACAATAGGAATAGGCAGATTTCATAAATATTTCAGATCTAAGTACTCTAAACATTTATCTCCAGATCCCTTTCCAGAACTTCAGATCTTGTAAATCCCAAGTAGCTATTTTATTTGACTATCTCAAAAGCTTATCAAATTTAACAGGTTAGAAACAAGCAAAATACATGCACATGAACAAACAAAATAAAAAGGACACCTCAAATGGTGAACTGTCTCAGAAGAAAAGCAGCCATTTTTTTCTTCCAGTATTCCTTCTGGTATCAAATGGAGCCAATATCCACTTAGTTGCTGACCTTATCTATGAGTGGTGATCACTAGACTACTTAGCTATTTTCACCTGCAGTTCATGTGGCAACTTGGCTTTGTTGGAGACATATTTTATTAGTGCCTATCGTGTGGTGTCTTCATACATGTAACATATTCTGACCATATCTGTCCTTCCTTACTCTCTTGCACCCCACCCCTTACCCATTCTTTTCCTCTTACAGTCTCCTTGGTACTTTCATGTCATTCTTTTTATTTTAAGATTCCCAGTATTAGTGAAAACATGTCATACTTGTCTTTCTGAATCTGGCTTGTTTCTTTTAACATGTTGACCTTCAGTTCTATCCGTTTTCCTGCAAGTGACATAATTTTGTTCTTTTTTATGTCTCAACAATACTCCATTGTGTATCGTTACTGTATTTTCTTTATTCATCCATGGATGGGTACTTAGGTTGGTTCCATTTCTTGGCTATTGTGAATTGTGTTACAATAAACATAGATATTAAGTATCCCAATAATATGCAGACTTCATATGGCTAACTTGGATTTATATTCTATGTCAATTTATTTAGAAACTTAGATTTTTACTAGAATGTTCCTTTTACAGTATGCAATGTACTAACCATTGTTAGTCTCCTACAATCTTATTTTAAAATTTTGTACCATTGTTTTTGTTCTTTTTTTTTCTTTAAATAAAATACTCTGGACATATTATATATAGCAACATAAATATCTTTAATAATTTTTAGCATATTTTAAGTGTACATACAAGTTTCGTGTAGGCCTACTTAATTCTATGTTAAATTGGTTATTCTTTTGTTTTAAAATTTGCATAAAATCGGTATACTGTATCAGTATAGCATCCTTAGTTTTATTATGCTTGCTTTCCAAATGTGGCATCAAGGTGCTATTAGTAAAGTTTTATTGTCTGCCTTTATTAAATTTATTTCTAATCGAATGTATATGTACAAGAAAAAAATTTTTTTGAGACAAGGTTTTATTATGCAGTTTAGGTTGATCTTGAACTCACTTTGTAGTCCAGACTGGCATCAAATTTAGAGCAATCCTCCTCCCTCAGTCTCCTGAATGCTGGGATTACAGGCTTGTGCCACCATGCCTGGCCAGTGTTTAGTTTTTAAATTTTTTCTTTTATTAGTGCATGTTTGTAGCACATAATGATTATATTCATTTTGGGGAGTTGATACAGGAATATAACACATGATAATTCCTTTTACATCCTTTACCTGCTCTTCCTCCACTTTCCTCAATCTCTTGGTCTCCTTCACTTTTTTTTTTTTTGGTACCAGGGATCGAACTTGCAACCTTGCACTTGCCAGATAGGTGCTTGTGTTGCTGAGCTAAATCCCTGGCCCCTCTCCTTCACTTTTACAAAAGATCTCCCAGTTTCATGTTGTCTATCTTTTCCTGTGCTCTTGAAGATGTTTGCTTTTCAGTGGAGCAGTTTAGTTGGTTGCAACTATGGCTTATATTCAAGGCACTGAAATCATTGTACATAAATAAGTTTTGGTTATAGAGAATATCACTTGCTTTTTATTTGAGATAGGGTCTTGCTGTATATGTCAGGCTGGCCTTAAACTCACTGTGGAGCTTAGGCCGGCCTCAAACTAGAGGTGATCCTCTTGCCTCAGCTTCCTGAATGCTGGGACTGCAGGCACAAATCACCACACCCAGCTAATACCACTTGTAAATATTAAAATACCAACCACATTTGCCCTTGTACTTTAAGACACTGGATGTGTTGACTTATGAGTTTCTTGACTGTGTTCTTATTGAATATGACTTTCAGTATATTAGTGTAGGATGTCAAAAAATCAAAGTGCTAATTGGCTAGTCACCACGTATATAATTTACAGGATGGGTATTACTGCTAATTCTAGATGGTTTGTATTTTTGTATTGGCATTTATTTCTGTTATTTGACTTCTGTGCTGTCATCTTTTTCCTGCCTTTAACATATATTTGTTCACATACAGTATTGATTGCAATCTCAAAGTTCTGAGAAAGTAGCTAGATTTTTCTTAGCTAGATTCACTGAAAACTAGTAGTGTTAGTATTTTTTATTAACTCTATGTTTTAGATAATAGTAAAAGTCAATAAATTATTTTGTTACCAATTTTTTGTCATGTACTTGTAAAAAATATTTATTAGAAACAGCTGTTTCCTTATCTGAGGAGACATTTTTCACTCAATGTAGATCTTTGTGTGGTATTTTTTTTTAAGTTCAGTCTTTGTGTGAAAAGCAAGATTGTGTGTTCAATATACAGAAAATACTTGGTGTTTTTTTTTCTTTTTTTTTTGATGTTTAAAAGCAGAAATGTTTCTTTTCTTTTCTTTTCTTTTCTTTTCTTTTCTTTTCTTTTCTTTTTTTTTTTTTTGCAGCCAGAATCTCCCTATACATAGTTTAGGCTGGCCTTGAACTCATAGTGATCCTCTTGCTTTGGCTTCTGACTGCAGGGTTTACAGGGATGTGCAATCATGCTCAGCCATTATTTTTATTTTTTAATAAAAAGTTTTTCAGGGCCTTATTTTTAAAAAATTTATCAGATTAATCATTTCATTTTACTTTCCCCAGGAAATTGATGAACACCTGTTATGTTTCTCTTTGGAGATGAATGCTGCATCATTGTAAAGGGGAACTTTATGTTATACAAATGACACAAAATTATTTAGTTAGAAGTGGCCTATAAGCCGCACGTAGGGTGCATGCCTGTAATCCCAGCGCTCGTGAGGCTGAGGCAGGAGGATCAATATGCGTTTGAGACCAGCCTGGGCTACAAAGTGAGCGCAAGGCCAGCCTGAACTGCATAGTGAGGCCCTGTCTCAAAAAGATGAAAAAAAAAAAGTGGTCTATAAAATCGTGGTTTCCTGGCAAATTAGGGTAGGAGAAAAGTAGATTCAGTGTAAGTTCCCTCATAGATCCGCCCCTCCACCCGTTTTGGTGGTTTCTGCTTTTGGCATGGGGTTGAAGAATGGATTCCCTCTTGTCCCTGCTCCATGTTACTTCATGTTTTTAACATTTGTTTGATTAAGCAATTTTTCCATGAGATAAGTCTTTGACCCTTTTGTATTCTTCTCCCTCTCTCCTATAAAATGAAGCTGTACACATTTTGTTTGGAGACGGTGGATCACATGCTGTGTCACCTAAATCTATGATTGTTTTTATCCCTAAAAGGCTATATAAGGCATCAGTTGTCCTGATTACATGACATCATGTAGCATTATAGTAAAATATGCATCTTCTTACCATACATTGGGATTTGAATCTATCCTTTAGTTTCAGAGTTGGGTTCTTAGGATGGGTACTATTTATAATGGAGAATCTTAACCAAAACAAAGAATATTGTTAAATCAGTAGGAAAAGTTGGAAGTTCTTGTCTTATTTTTTTCCTTTCTTGAGGCTTACCAAAGTTTTAGATACTTGAGCTAATGGAACGTCTTTAAAGTTCTTGGTTTGTTAGGTCTGTTACATAGTGCTTTGCAAAAATTACGTCTTTAGTGAATGTTAGACTTTGCTTATGCTACCAACTCAGTAAATGAGCAGGAAGAAAATTAGTTTCCTTTTTTAAAGTGAAGCAGTCTTCAGCTTTAGAAAATAACAAATTATAAATTGAAAATATCTTAACATAAAGCTTTTAATATAAACTTATTATACTGTTAAATAAATCTAGTAAATACAGTTTTGTTTACTGATTAGAAGCAGTGTTTCACTTTCTGATAAAATTATTTCATTTTAACTTCTTTTGACCTTCTTGAGAAATGGCGCCTAATTATTATTCATAAGTGTGGCTCATTCCTAAGGAAATTGAGAGATGAGAAAAAAAGGGATGCAAGGAAAAATTTTCCTTTTACTATGTAGCTAATTTTAGTGGCAAAGCTTAAATTATAGTGAAGAATTGAGGTAATTGCCAGCTGGTTCAAAGAAAATTCATAAACATTTGAGTTTTTGTGTATGCTATTTAGCTCTGCAGATTTGTGGGGGTTTTTAATGAAAATAAACCTTAGTGTACTGATCTGAATTAAATGAATGACTGTTTTTTTTTGCTAGGGTTATTGTGGCCTAAGTCAAAATGTTTTTTATATTGGTTATAAAAGTAAGTGGATGAGAAAACAACAAATCTTAGATGGCACCTGCATTCCAGTTGCTCGTTTGACATTCAAGAGGTTGTTAGATTTTTCTGATGATGTTAAGTTCTTAGTTTACAGTGTAATGTTAGTCCATAAAGTTCCCAAATGTCTTATGACTACCTAAAAAGAATTAGAAACTGTATACTGATTATATGTAACCCCAAAATCCTGTTCACTTGTCACATGCTGCAGGACTCTGATGTTTAAGTATTTAATAGGACTGATTTTAAACAGGAAGCTAGAATAGTAAGGTCACAATAGTGAGAAGTAGGTTACATGTTGTCGTGCAGTTCTAAGGTTAATTGTGCCTGGCTTAAGTATAGGACTTCCTGCTTCAGGGTATTTCAAGTACAGTTGCTCAAGCACTGGTTTTTGACTACACCCAAGTTCAATTAGAATGTAACAGATGGCGTGGCTCTTTTTTTTTACTAGTGTAGGCTTATTAGAAACAGCAAAATTGACTTTCCCCACTATTCAAAGAAGTTAATAAGGAGAGAAATACTCAGTGACTCTGTTTGAGGGATATAAGGAAAAAGTAAGTGGATAAATTTACTTTGGGATATCAAGAGTTTACTGTCATAGTGTACTTTGATCTGAGTCTTTTTCAGTACTACATTTTATCTCCTAATAAATTTTTTTTTGGTCTTTTTTGAGATGGAGTCTTGCTATGCATTTCAGGCTGGCCTTAAGCTCTCTTTGTAGCCTAGGCTGGTCTCGAACTTGCAAGGACCCTCCCACCTCAGCCTCCTGAGTGCTGGCTAATAAAAATTCTTAAATTAAACTGTTTAAATGTAAAAATCTAACAATTAAGAAGCTATTTAGAAACAACATAGACTGGGCTTTTAGGAACTATAAATATAGGTAAGATTGAAACTTAATTAATATTGAAAATATAGCATGAAGAGACTCAGTATCACTTTTAAATCTTTAATATTGAACAGATGAATTGCGTTAAATGTAATTATTTGTTATTTGCTATTGGATCTATATACAGTAATTTACTAAAGTGTGTACTAGAAAACTTATGTTCATGAGAATTTCTGGGCTAAGAGCCTGGGGGTTACTTATTTATTTATTTATGTGCTGGGGATTCAACTGAGGGCTTTCCCACAAAGATACATTCCTAGCCCTTTTTATTTTGAGATGAATCTTGCAAAGTTGCTCCAGGCTGGGCTTGAATTTGGAGTCCTCTTGCATCAGCCTCCAAAAGTGCTGAGATTACAGGAATGTACCACCGTACCTGTCTTGAAATTCCATATTAATGAACACGTTTTTTGAAAGTCGTTAGGGGGATGGTTCAGTGGTAGAGTGTGTGAATAGCACACATAACCACTGAGTTTAAGAACAAGTGAATGAATAAATGCATGTCATAGACAGATGTGCTGAGATTCATGCCAGCTGTGGTGGTGCAACCTATAATCCCAGCACTGAAGGCTGAAGCCAGAGGGGTGTTGTGAGTGCAAGGCCATCTGGTTACAAAGCGAGTTCAAGGTCGGCCGGAACTGTGTAATGAAATCCTGTCTCAAAAAGATCCAAAAAGCAAACAAGCAAACAAAAAATGCTGAAATTCACTGTGGTGTAAGTAATATCTTGAAAGTAGATCGCAAATTACTGAGGGTTTTGATAAGAATTTTGAAATAGGATAGTAGATTCCAAATTAGCTATGAATGAATGTATACGTATTTATTCTTGTTTTGACAATACCATTTGGTGGGGGGCTGTCTTTTTTGTTACTCAAAATGGCATTAATAGTGAAAACTCAACACTTACTTTTCATGTATGAGCATTTGGCAACAGCACAGTTATTCAGAAAGGAATGTAGACCTTTGGGGCCATTGATAATAAAATACTGGAAGTATTTTTGAGACAGGGTCTTGCCAGACTTCCCAGGCTGGCCTTGAATTCGCTGTGCCCTTCTGCCTCAGTCTCTTGAGTGCTGGGATCACAGGAGTGCACCGCCACACCCATCTTAAAAATTCTAATTTTTTAATTCTTTTAGATTATTTAAATACAAAGATTTGAAGTAGTGTTCTGTCTTGTTGCATGACTGGCAAAAATATAGACAAAGTACATGGAAATAAATAGAATGAGGAAGCGAAAGTCACGTTGTCCGGAAATGATGAAACAACCGTTGCCGTGCTCTTCTGGCGAAGTCCTAATTCTGGCTGCCTTGTCAGTAAGCATCACTAATCATGAGGGAGAAAAAAGGTTTTTTAATTTCAAAACTTCAGAAGATTTTGTTACTGATTTTATTATTTGAGGACTATAACATAAATCTACAGCATACAAAGTTAATTTAAAAATTAACCCGTCATTACTATCTGCAGCAAGTATTCATTGTGAGTTTACCGTGTACTTCTGTTCTAAATGCTTTGTCTTCTCACTTTATGAAAGCAGGTGTAGTACTATTACAGTTTTACACTGAGGCAACTGGGGTTTGAACCAGGCAGTATCTGTACAGCTCACTCAGACTCTTTCCCTGTCTCTCACTGTCTTCAGATATGGTTAATATCAATTTCATGACTTGGATTTTTCTTTGGTGATGTTCTATTAATAAAAGTGTTATCCATCACATTTTAACTTCAACTTCCTTACATACAGCTTCCTTAGGTTTCTGTGCAGTACCTTTCACTTATGGTTGTATATAATTTATTACAAAATGAAACTACTATGATAACAGCCATGAGTATTGTAGAAGGTGGAGATTTCTTAAGGCTTAAAAAAGAAGCAGGACAGGATTTTTTTGCATAAGTGTATTTCTTAGGCTTCTCTTTCACTACCTTTTACTCATTGATAGACATAAAAGGACAAAAATCATAGTTTAATATAGCTAATAGCATAGCTTGAGAATGAATTCAAATTCCTGTAAGCATTTAAGTACTTTTGACATCTTAGTATCCTTGACTCCTAAGCCATACAGAAACACAAAGGGACTTCTGAGTAGAAGAGAAAAATCATAAAACTTATGTATTTATACATGTTAAGGTGAGGCCTTTGCTTTATTCAGATCAAATCCTAATGAAGTTTGTTTGACTTTTCAGTCTGCAACAGAGCATCTTTAAGTTCATTTGTATGATTTAGAAACTGAAAATGCTATGAAAATCAAAAAAATTTTAAGCTTTTTAAATGGGAGAACATGCTGGAAGCTGATAAAAGGTTATCGAAGATCTTTACCCTCCTCCTAGTGTGAATGTACATTTCTATAAGAATACAGAAAAATTTACATGCTCATGTGAGATGTAACATCACCTACATGTTATTTCTTCCTTTTTATTGGTATAGGGGATCGAACTCACAACTGCCTGCTTCCAAGGCAGGCGCTTATGCCGCTGAGCTAAACCTCCAGCCCCTACATGTTATTTCTTAAAAACAAAAAGGCTTTGAATCTTTTTCCTCTTTTTGTTTTTGTTTTTGAGACAGAGATTCTCCTATGCAGTTCAGGCTGGCCTTGAATTTACTATCTAGCCCACGCTGCCTCAAGCTCAAGGCAATCCTCCTGCCTCAGGTATATGCCAACACACCTAGTGATTTTGAAGTTTGGACTATGTCTAGCCTTGGAGCTTTCAATGAGGGACCATAAACTTGTACAAATACAGTACTACAAATGAACTCTTAAGATACAAAACTAATAATAATAATCCAGTTACTCAGTCCCAGCAGTGTGAGGCTTTTTAGTATAGAACAGTGTTTCTCAAGTTTGAAGAATGCATAGATCCCTCTTTAATTAATACCATTTTTTAAAATTGAAAATTAGTAGCCAGCTTACCAAGAAGTGCACTGAAGAATTCATGCCTTGTCTCTTCACCAACTTCATTCTGTCCCTGAATCGAACCGATTCCATCCGAGTGCTGTGCATTTGTTTAGTCCACCAAATGTTTTCCTCTTCTGCAAATTTGTTCCTTTTTGCATTTTTTTAAATAAAACTTCTCCTTACTATGAAATGGAATAGCCACATTGTTATTATTAGTTTACATGCACCCAGACTGTGTCCAGAACTCACTTGAAAACAGGTTGCCTGGGGGCTGGGGATTTAGCTCAGGGGTATGAGCGCCTGCCTTGCAAGCAGGCAGTCGTGAGTTCAATCCCCAGTACCGATAAAAAGGAAAAAGACAAAAAAAAAAAAAAAAAAAAAAAAAGAAAGAAAGAAAAGAAAACCGGTTTCCTGGAGATTGTCAGTATTGGAAAGAAGGGTGTCTTTACTTTTAGTTTGCATGGTAAGAAAGTGAATGTGCCAGAGATAGAAAGTAAAGCCCTCATGCAGTTTTACGTCTTTTTTATTCAGCTTTGGTAATTCATATGTTTCTAGGAATCTGTTCGTTTCTTCTGTGTTATCAAACCTATGAGAGTAGAGGTTTTTGAAGTGGGTATTGATGATCTCTATTTTCACAGGGTCTGTAGTAATTTCACTCCTTATTGCATGAATTTAAGTTTTTTCTTTCCTTTTTAAAATAAGATTTGCTAGGGACTTACCAATTTTATTTATTCTTTCAAAGAACCAACTCTGATTCATTGATTCTTTGTATTGTTTTCTTAGTCTCTATTGCATTGATTTTTGCTCGGATCTTTATAATTTCCTTCCTTCTTTTGGCTTTGGGCTTGACTTGCTCTTCTTTTTCTAGATATTTGAGGTGTAGTATCATGTTGTTTATTTGTGTTTCTCTGGATGTGGGAATTCACCATGATAAATTTTCCTCTGAGGACTGCTTTCATTGCATCCTACAAGTTCTAGTAAGTTGTATTTGTTATTTTCATTTGCTGATAGATATTGTTTAATTTCTTCTTTAATTTCCTCTGTGACTCACTGATTGCTTAGGAATATATTATTCTATTTCCAAGTGTTTTTGCAGTTTCTTTTGTCATTAATTTCTAGTTTCATGGCGCTGTGATCTGATAACATGCATGGGATAACTTCAGTTCTTTTGCATTTACTTAAGCATGTTCTGTGGGCTAGTATATAGTCTATTTTAGACAATGTCCTATGTGCTGTTGAGAAGAATGTATATTCTGATGTTGGGTGGAACACTCTGTACACGTCCACTAAGTCTATTTGTTCACAGATGTGATTGAATTCTGTTATTTCTTGGCTGATTTTTTTTTTTTTTGTCTAGTTGAGCTGTCTTTTTGTGTCAATGGGGTGTTAAGATCTCCCATTATAATTGTGTTATTGCATATTTGATTTTTTACTTCTGTTAATATTTGTTTTGTATAGATGGGTGCTCCCAGATTTGGTACATATATATTTAAGAGTGTTATCCCTTCCTCTTGAAGTTTTCTCCTAACTAGTATGTAGTGACTTTATCTCTTTTGATCCTTCTTGGTTTGAAGTTCACATTGTCTGCCAACAGAATAGCTCTACCACTGCTTTTTTTTTTTTTTTTTTTTTTTTTTTTGTTATTGTTGTTCCTGTGGCATAAAGTATTGTTTTCCATCCTTTGGCTTTCAGTCTATGAGTTTCCTTTTGGGTTAAATGGGTTTCTTGTATACAGCATATGGTTGGATACTGTTTCTTAATCCATTCTGCCAGTCTGTTTCTTT